CTTTTCAGCTCCCCGCTCTGAAATGGCAAGGAAGAATAGAGTGTCATTTTACCGTTCCAAATAGTTAACGAATTTTTACATGAGTTTTACATTTTTACACTGAATTTGCTATCTCTGGTTGTTACTTTTTCATTGAACCATGCTTCAGCCTCTTTGCGATTTTGCTCAGCAATGACTTCGTACTGTCCCCTCATGTCATTCAAAAGCTTGGTCAGGTCAGTTCCTGGAGCAGCATCCATTTCAACGCTGACTTGGCCAAATGCACTGCTTTGGATGCCCTGAAGCTCCTGCAGAGATTTAAAATAAAGAAGAGTTTCTGTTAATAAAAGGCAAAATAGTTCTACCAAAACTGTACGTGAAGAAATACATGTGACATCAATTCTGTTCCAACGAGAGTCCGTAGCTTGTGTGCATATTTCTTTCACTCTTTCACTTAGTAAACCCAAAAAAGAACAGCAAACAAACCAACTAAAGAAACCAAGGAACTCTCGCTGGCATAAATAAGGGAATAGTTTGATGTTTCACAATTCCATCTACCTTGTTATAAATTCACAGAGAAAAAAAAAAAAAGAAGTACCTCTTCATGATTCTTCTTGAGATAAGCCAGTTCTTCATTCAGGCTTTCGATCTGCATCTCCAGGTCAGCTCTGGTCAAGGTCAGCTCATCAAGAACCCTGCGCAGACCGTTGATGTCAGCTTCCACGCTCTGGTGAAGAGCCACTTCGTTCTCATATCTGTAAATAAAGTAATTAAATTTGATTTTTTACATGGTTAATGAGGTCAAATGCAAACTGTTACTATGCACTTATATAGATATCAATATGAAATATTAATACACATAATTATTATAATATGGTTTAATAATTACGTTAAAGTAATCTACAAGGAAAGAGATTTTTAAATACAAAATAATTTTTCCTTAAAATATTGGTAAGAGTTTTTGTAATATTAAGATATACTTACTTCAGTCTGAAATCATCAGCAGCCAGTCTGGCATTATCGACCTGCAGAATGATTCTTGCGTTGTCGATAGTTGCATTAATGATCTGCAACACAAACAGTATTCAGAGAATGATTTTGCAGCCCAATGGCTTTGCAGCTTGGTATAGCTATTTACACATCTATAATCCTAGATACAATTATGATATTAAATGTAACTTGTTAGCGTTTTGTATAATTTACCATGAAAATATATAGGACAGAGTTTCTGGGAGTCAGCATGCTTGACTTAACGGCAGCGTGCCAGTTCGTGTTCTGGACTAGATAGTTTATAACCTCTGCAGACCTTGCCAGGCAGCCTGTCTGTTTCAGGGGCCGAATTTGCGATGTAAGAAATACGAAACTTAGGAAAATATAAACTTTGTAATCTACAGGGGTTTGTAGAACCGCGTTCCATCACTGCCTTCTCCTTCATTCAAGTTAGACCAAGTCACACAGCACTGTGTGATACAGCTGCAGAACTGCCGTTAATATACAAGAAAAATTCAACACGTGGTACCAGTGCAATGTGACAGAGGGTATTACAAACGCCGGTGCTACAGAATAACTTTGCTCTTGGTTTCTGAAAGGAATTTGTTGTTTTTATCCAAAATATTATTAGGTGAATCACAAATGTAGAGATACATTAAGTACATTGCTTTGCTACCTTGTTTCGAAGATCTTCAATTATAGGAGAATATTTACTATAGTCGTTCCCAGATCCAGGGATGCAAGCGCCAGGGCCGGTTTTCTCATACCACTCGCGGATTTTGCGCTCCAGCTCAGTATTGGCATCCTCCAGAGATCGTACTTTGTCCAGATAAGCAGCCAGACGGTCATTGAGGTTCTGCATAGTTTCTTTTTTTGAGCCAGAAAGAAGGCCACCATCCCCAGCACCACCAGTGCCAAAACCACCTCCAAAACCAGATCCTGAGCCACCGCCGAAGCCACCTCCAAAACCAGATCCTGAGCCACTACCAAAACCACTTCCTAAACCTCCACCGAAAGCGCTGCCTAAGCCACTTGCATAGCTACCACCTAAACCACTGCCAAAGCCTCCACCTAAGCCACTACCTAAGCTGCTCCCAAAGGCTCCACCTGAGCTACTCCCAAAACCCCCACTGAAGCCAGAGCCTGAACCAAGCATGGAAACAGCACCAAACCCCCCGCCAGATCCACCGCCAAACCCAAGCCCGCTGCCCCCAAAGCCTCCTCCACCGCTAGAGCCAGACATTCTCAGAGATCCCCCGCCAAGTCCACTCCGAGAAGAGGATTGCCGGGATCCGCCGGTTGTGCGCACGGAGAGGGCCATGGTGCTCGAGGTGCCCTGGGCTGTCACGGGGAGCACCGGGCGCAGAGCAAGGCAGACCCGAGACGTTTGCCCTTTATATAGGGAAGGCAGCGGGGGTTGCAGTGCAGTCCCCACCTCCTGGGAAGATCTTTAATTCTGCCTCTCTCTTGTTTGGAGGGGAAGTCAGTTTAGTATGTCCTGACCAAACTCAACGGGCCAATCTGAATTGCCAACGGGAGTGGAAACCTGGTGCCCTCCAGGTATTTGCTGTGTGAGGGGGAATGGGTGGAGTAGAGCTAAGACAGCGCCGTGATGTTTTGCCATGTGCAACGAAGCACAAAAATTTCTTCTCGCATTTAAATCCTTCCTAAATAAATGTTTTTGTCATCAGGTATTTATTCACTGCTTTCTTGGTTTGGGGCTATTACAGGCGTATGTCAGGGGAGCCATCCCTTTCGTGTCATACAAACACGTGCTTCTTTTCATAACCCTTGTCGAGCGTGAACCTCTGCCAGATCAGTGCTCCCTGTACCTTTACTAAGAAGTAAGAAAAGTGATCACCAAAAGTGTATGAAGAGGCACATGGACGTTCAGTGATCTGCAGGTTGATCATTAATAGGAAAATTAAATATACTTGATTATACCAAATATAACTAGCAATTGTGCTTTCTGCCCTAAGCCTTTCATCATTGTCATACCTCTGTGTAATATGCCTAGCCTATACCAACAGTTTGTGCTTTTGAGCTGAAAACTAACCATTGCTTCTTCTAAACAGTTGGCTTTTATCTCAAAATAAGGAAAATGATTTCTGTATTCTGTGCTTTTCATAATATAAATGTAAAGGTCAAGTATTGCTCTTCTGGTTGCAGGTTTAGGCATGGAAACCCTTCAAAACCAATATACTTTTCTTTTGAAGTTATTTCAGTTAACAGAAAATGGTTTTTCTTTGTCCTGGCTTAATTATATCATTGGATTTGTCAACTGAAATGGGTTCACTTTTAATTTATCTACAAAGCATGGGTGCTTTTTCGGGCAGAAATGTATTATGATCAGTAGATCAAAGGTTTAAGTAAAGCATTTATGAGAAAGGAATTGATAGCCTGGTAACCAGTGACTCATGGCACCGAGAGCAAAGGATTATTTTCTTTGGCAGCTGTTTATGTTCAGTAAATAACACCCTGGACAGCTGGGATTTCAAAAGGAAGAGCTTTTTGTGTTTATGTTGTCAGGAGGAAAATGGGGACTCCTGGGCCTGGAGAGCTGGGTGTGCCCAGGCGGCTGGCGCTGCGCGGGAGCGGGGGCGTGCAGTTCCTGTGGAGAGCTTTGCTGGACCTGGTGGTCTTTTCATTCCTGACTGAAGTCCCATGTGATTTAATCAGTCCCAGAGAGTGAAAAATAATAAATAGGCTTCTTCAATTTATTTATTATTTTTAATTTATCGTGAAATGCAAATTGACACTTCTTATTTATTTGAAAATCAGTTTTTACTGAAGTGAAGCTGCATTACATTTGAATGGTCGTTCAAGTTCAGAAAAAGTGCACTGAATCAACATTTTATCACACTTAAAACCAAATCTACTCTGAATGTGCTAGTACAAAAGAGAAAAGAGATTGCTAAGTGCTGGATTGCAATTAAACTAACGTATTTGATAAAGAGTGTATCATCTATATCCGGTAAATTCTTTTATGTAGAGCTTTGGTGAAGTGTCCATCAAGGTGTCAGAAATAGCAGCTCTCTTCTGAAAACTTTTCATTTGTTAATACACTGAAAGTGTGAGAAAACTTAAGGCACCAGATGTTGAAGTGAACTGTCTGGAAAAATGAAGAAAAAATTCTCAGAGTGCTTTCAGAAGAGCCCGTTACTGTCCGGAGCTTCTTAAGCTCGTGAGCAAATTTTGTCCCACATCTTCATCTAGTGACTTTCATCAGCTTAGTGCTTTGAAACTTCAACAGTAAACATTGCTTCAGTATTTTTCTAAATTTAATTTAGGTTATTTTAAAAGCTATAGTAAACTCATGCTGTAAGTCATTTGACTTTCTGTTTTTTACTGAGCAAGTCTTTTAAATGTAATTTTGTAAAAACTAATACTTCGGGTTTTATCTGTCTTGGAAACAATTACACATTTATAACAGGCTGATTTGTTTTTTTCATCAAGGTATTTAGTCAGTCTGTAATCTAGTGACCAAAATCTAGTACTTCGTAACTTACTGATTTTTATTAACACTACCACACAATAACAACAATAACAACAAAAGATTGTTTGAGATTTGATAGTTTGGGATTTTTCAACCCTTCTGGGTTTTGGGGAGAATTAGCTTGGATTCTTTATGAAGTTTAGTCTTTCCATTTGGCATCAGCTCCAAGAAGCTCGGCGGCCGTCTCCTCTCTGCTGGTGCCATTTACACCTTCTCTTCAATCTCTTTGGTCTGAGAGGAGACAATCTTGCCATCAACCACCTCTTCAACAATTGTCTTGATCTTCTTAACTTTAGTCGATTCTGGGAATGAAATGGAACAGAGAGTTAATTAAATGCAGTGTCTGTTGACGGAACACTGTTGCCGTAGTGCTGGCAGCAAGTGCGCCCGTGGGGAGATGGACCAAGGCGTCTTCTCAGTGCAGTGATGTGAAGTAAACTGTCGGGCTACGCAGGAGATTGTTTCTCTTCCTTTGAACATTCTATATGTTACCCATAATACTATAGTGGGCGTTGTGTTGAATAACTCCCTGTCCCTCCTGATAGTTTTGCTTCAGTTTAGCACAGGCTTGTGGACCTAAACCCTGGGAACAGTCTTACACGGAAATGGCTATTGTTGCTATTAAACTAGATACTTCACTGAGGAGCCTGGGCTCCCTGTGTGGGCAGCGGAGTGAAGCAGATGCTTCTGAAGGCCTCCAGAGGGTAGTTAAATGATTCTCTGTTGTTCTCTTGGCTCTTTGGGGAGTCTGTGGTTTTACTTTGGGCACCTGAATTATACACATAAACCCAGGCTTTGTATAATCCCTATAGGTCATCAATTCATATGGCAGATTGCTTTCTTGATGTAAGATTCCACTATTGATTATTTGCTCTGAAACTGTGGTGTTCTATATCAGGCTACTTAGTTCCATAACATTTCAACAGGCAGCCATCAGAAAATAAGCAACTTGGTGTGACATACCTTTTTCAAGCTCTGCTGTAGATACTTCCACTTCGAAGTGTCTGTTCAAATTACAAATTAAAAAATATAAACATATGACACCTAATATTGAAGAAACATCCTTGTACCCTTCCTGGGTGTTTAATCAAGACAGGTAATGTCCTTTCATCAAGACATTTGACCAGGTGTTTAAATGAATTTTCTCTCAAGTAAAACTTGCTAAGCATAAGCTATAGGTGCAATTAATCTGCACACTCATTTCTGCAGTGCTGTGACTTCAGCTCATGCAGATATGCCAAATCTAGTTCCTGAGCCAGAAGAGCTGAACAGGCAGAATCTTGGTGGGAAATGTCACTCTCTGCTCGCCCCACTTTTGTAGATGTCTGCTCTTTTCACTACAGAATATGGGGTACTGGACTACCTGAACATTTAGTGTCAGCTCACTTGCAGCTCTTCAAATGTTTGCGTAGCTTGGCTACTAGTGACACAGGTGGAGCAGAGCATAATCCAGTGCAGGCGGCAAAACTTGCCGTGGGCTGCAAGAGAAGGTCAATATGCTCTTGCTGGTGCCTGCTCGAGTGTGGCGCCGTGCTGCGGTGTCTAAACCAGGTTAAAAGAAATCTAGCCCAGGTTAGCACAGGCCTCCACAAGCTGCAGTCGTTACAGTTACGGACAAGTGATCCAAAACTGAATTAGTGATGCGTACAGAGTGTGGCTATCTGTCCGGAGTGAGAGTATGTAGGTATGCAGAGGTCGGGAAACAAACCCAACCGACTTCCATAGCAGCTTCTGAAACAGCACGAACTGCAGCCTGCTCCAAATCTACAGCTGAGAACTGGACGACAGACTTCTCCCCGCCCCCCTCCCCAAGCAGCTGGGAAGCGGCAAATCCTACACTTTCACCTTCCGTGAACGTAGACAGTATCTGCACTGGTGTTTGCTGTCATACGGAACTAAACTGACAGGCAAAGCGTCTGTATTTCCTCACCTGTTGTCCTCCCCTTCCAGCAGGCGGCGGTACGTGGCGATCTCCATTTCCAAGCGAGTCTTGATGTCCAGCAATATACTGTACTCGCTAGTCTGACTCTCCATGTCAGCTCGGAGTTGCCCCAGTTGAGCCTCTAAATTGGCAACTGCTCCCTGTATTTGGGTCAGCTGGTAACTATAACGTGCTTCGGTTTCAGCCAGGGTGTCTTCTAGTGAAGTTTTCTACAGCCGATGGAAAGAAGAGAGATGCGTTATTCAAGAGAACACATTGGTGTGTTACAATGACCTTTGATTGAAAAGCCTCTCAGTTTCTACATTTATCCATGTAACTGTCTGCTAAACACAGCCCTCATTTCAAGTGCTCTTTGTTATTTACCATGTTAAGCTGGGACTGTAAGTCCAGCTCCAGACGCTGGGCGATCTGTCTCTGGTTGGTGACCGCTGTCCTCTGGGTTTGCAGCTGCTCCACGTTGATCGCTACCTCCTGGTTCAGCTCAACTGTCTGAAGGGCAGAAATGAGGGGCTGTAAACTGCAGCGGGACATGACGGAGGTTCTGACCGATGTCTAAGTAATTGACCTTACCTGCTTTTCAAATCGTTCTTTGGCTTCCTGACGGTTTTTTTCTGCCATTTCTTCATACTGCTTTCTCATGTTTTCCATGGTAGTCGCCAGATCAATACTTGGAGCAGCATCCACCTCTACACTGACTGAGCCGCCCACCTGCTTGCGCAGCCTGTCAACATCCTACAGCAACGAGAAGTGTGTTAGCAGCAGCTACAGGGAGCTTCCACTCCTGAACGTTGGAAGGAAATTCAAAATCTACAGACATAGAAGTAATTCTTAAATAGCACCTCAGGGCACCATGACTTAATCACCTTGTAACCAGATAATTTGTGAATAGGTACCTAAATTTTGATGTGCTAATCTGGAGCTGAATCCCACTATAAGTGTAATATTCGAAGATGTCATTATTCCTAGTGAGGCTGTGCTTCTGTGTGCCACTGCAAAAAAATCTCTCCCTGACAGTGTTCAGCTGCTCTCACCTCGTTGTGGTTCTTCTTAAGAAAAGCTAGTTCTTCATTCACACTTTCAATCTGTGACTCCAAGTCTGATTTTGTCAAAGTCAAGCCATCTCGAACTCGGACCAGTCCGTTAATGTCACTCTCGACACTTTGCCTGAGCAGCAGCTCGTTCTCATACCTGTAGAATAAGGCTTGTTTTGTCATCATGAAAATGCAACGCTTTGAAGTAGATGTTAGAAGTGGTAACTACTACAGTCTTAGTTGTAAAATGTTTCTTTTTATTAAACCTTACATTAGAAAATGTTTACTTCTCAGCTTTGGTACTAATAACTAGAAGCTTTCATGAATAAGAGAAGCATTAAAGAGAATTATGAAACAATCATGGAACTTACTTCAGCCTAAAATCATCAGCAGCCAGTTTGGCATTGTCAATCTCCAGGACGAGCCTTGCATTTTCCAACTGTGCAGCACTGATCTAAAAAGGAATGGTTGAAAGGCCACGAATCATTGCACGTAAATGCACACTTGATCCATTTCTGGAAATTAGTACCACATGTGGGCTTTTTCTCGCTTAACTTCAGCTGTCTACTAGTCACCTAGGTTTAAGCTAAGTTCCCCCTGAAGTGCATAGGAGGATTTAGGTTCTCCAAAAGGCAAATTATGCTGTCATAATAGGTGTATGAAATAGTTGGGATGAACTGCTCGCTTTTAAAGGATGGGAAATAGAACTGGTAAAAAGTAAGAGGAGAAAGATTTAAGGAAGTTCACTGGCAGAGTAATTTGACAAATCTGTCAGCTGATTGCTGTGGAAATAGTTTATTGTTTATAGTGGTACTTTACTGTTTCAAGTAGTGATCTATTATTTTTTTCTGAGCATTTGGCAGTCTTTTCTGAAAAAACACTTTGAAATCAACAGATGCTAAACTGTATTTAAATATGTAAACCGCCATCAGTATTTTCACTAATTAAAATTACCTAAGGCAAATAGAATTCATTAATTTTGATTTGAAGATTTTTCATGTATGAGATTACTCACATCTGCAGACATATATCTAGTATACAAATGATGCAAAATCTGTCACTAATTTGTATCTGATCAAAAGAAAGCATTTATTTTTCCTAGCTGAGACAATTGCAATCTGGAAAAGTACATTTTCTACAATAGATTATTTCTGTCTCCCCGGTAACTACAATTCATATACGTATAGATGGCTATGCGATATCTTACCTTCTTTTGGAGCTCTTCAATCGTTCTAAAGTATGAGCTGTAGTCATGCCTGACATCTATGGTGTTCTTCTCGTACCACTCCTTGATCTGCTTTTCAATCAGGGAGTTTGCCTTTTCCAGCGAGCGCACCCTCTCCAGGTACGAAGCCAAACGGTCATTTAGATTTTGCATGGTTGATTTTTCGTTGCCAGTGAGCAGCACATCGTTACCAGTAATACTAAGCTGGAAGTTCCCACTGAAGCCTTGGCCATAGCTGGTGCTGGTAGATATGCGGGTGCCGTAGCCACCGGCTCCCCCGTAGACGCTGGGTGCCTGAATCTTTTGGACAGCCATTTTCCTGGAGGTCACACCACTGACACTGGGTGCAGTGGGCTGGAGGTGGGTGCTTGTACCCCACTGGAAGCTTTGGCTGGAGAATGCCATTGTGTGCTTTGTCCTCTGAAATGGAACAGCTCAACCTGCACAGGCGCGAGCAGCTGAAGTGAGGAGCAGCGAGCGCCCTGTGAACCTTTATACTGGGTTTCAGAGGGGAAGCACAATCGCTGTAAACCCCACCTCTGCTGACACACGATGTGGCTGGTGTCAGCACAAAGAGCACCCAGCACATTGCCCCCACGCTCCATACGGTGTCAGGGGGTTTTCATCTGTTCATCTGTGTTTGAGAGAAACTCCTCAGGTAGTTTGGCTTGCTTTGTAATTAGTTTGAATAAAAGATAAACCACAAATAAACTGTTGAATCATTTATGCCAGTATACGTGCAGCCATACTCTCTATAGTCCTTTTGAACAAACAAGTAGATTCTTACCCCCGTGTGCAGTGTATGAAATTAAAATGAGAGTTGACTATATGTGACGAGAGACTTAAAATATTTATATTTGCAATCAATCCTGTATTTCTGTTGAGGAGGCAACAGTTTGGGCCTCAGGACGGTCTAGAACAGTGTATGAATTACTAGAAAGGAGGCGTCTGTAAGCACCGTGTTAGTTCATTCTATAGGAAGCACAAAACAATATTCATACTGTGACTGGAAAGGGAATGCTGTTGCAGTTAGCCTGCATGGAATGTGCATTCATTTAGTATTAGAAAACCATTACACATTGAACTTTACCTTTCAGCACAGTTGAAATTAAGCAGAAAAAGAATTGCTTTGTTCGTAAAGAAAGTAATAGGAACAAGGATATTGAAATCTTCCTTGCCCACTTTGTTTCACGTATGAGATGCTGAGGTCCATAGAGTGACAGGAGGCGCTGGGCTTCCAGCATGACTAGCTTCCAGCCCTCCAGTGTGGCTGAAGTTAAAGCAGAACAAGTATCCCTCCTGCCTGGTCCATGTTCCAGGCAGAGAGACGACCAGCAGCGAGTTCCACTGCCGGGCGTTCTGTCACAGCCCGGGTGTTAAATCACTGCCTTTGTTCAGCGCACGAAGAAACCCAACAACCCAGCTTCTGATCGTACTGAGGTTCCTAAACTGACTGTGGTGCACACTTTTGATACAGAAAAGGCAGAGGTAAAATGGAAAGCAAGGGAAGGATCTGATTGCTGAGGGGGTGTTAGCGCTGCAGGAAAGCAGGCAGCAGGTGGGCACCGGGGCACTACGTAGGTGTAGCTCCCTGGGGCGTTGTGCTGGCAATACCTCTGTGGATTATTAATGTACAGCGAGTCAGGGAGAACAGTTAACAATATTGCTTGTATTAGTGAGAACAGCTGCTGGACACACTGCTCCTCAGCCCTGGGGCAAGGAAATTGGTGAGACACTAAGCTCTGGAGGCGGTAAACTCTGTATTGGGAACATCTTCAGGTTTTGGAGAACGCCTAACCTGGGGTCCAGGGGAATCAACACGGCTAAGTTTGTGAAGTTACTGTGCTACAGATCACTCGAAACAGTGTTGGATCAAGGTAAAGAGTTAAGCTGTCGTACTTGGCTATTCTGAACAAATGCGTCTTCCAAACCAAAGTGATCAGTGTTCAGGGCAGACCTGCTTTGCAGGGGAATGCTGTGAATTGTCTCTGGACCTTGAACTTCTTTGGGTGTAACTGGTAATGAAAAACGTTTATGGCAGTTGAAACCAAAGTACACTAGCCGTGTCATTTGGACTGTCACTATAGAAACTCAAGATGGGTCATCTTTTGTTCATTAAAAATATTCAGACTGAGTAAGAATCGATCGTGTTAGTAGGGCAGAGCTTACACCTTTAAAGCTGTGAGGAATATGGCAAGAGATCCTGCTACAGTTCCATCTCTTGGCTGTGTATTTCACTGCCTAGATGTCTGGCAGGATTTGTCGATAGTCTGTTTGAGAGTAAACATCCTGCTTTGTCTTCTTAGTATTTATTAAAATCAGTTTCCGTGTTGACAGTATTTTTTCTAAACATCACTTGAGGATTCCATTTTTTCTTTTCTTGAGCAAATGGCAAAGGTTATTTGTTAGCTTTCGTGCTTGCCTATAAATGCAACAAGATGTCATCAAAGGTCTAGACTGGCTTTTGTGGGTCAAATTCTTAAACTTTGTACTCACAACTATCCCACCTCCGTATGGAGAAGCAGCTACATAGTTCAAATATCAAAAGCTAATTGTGTGTGTTGTTAAATCACTGTCAGGTGTTTGAAAATTGCAGAAGCTGGATACCATTTAGAAATGTGAGAATAATACAAAAATACATTTCAGATTGATAGAGAAATAAAATTCACTAATACATTTCTAAACTTTTCTCTAACTTCACCTTTTACAGTGATCTGAATGACAGTGGACATCCCGGTTAGGTCAGACATTTGCCTTGTGTTCTGGCTCTGCTACTTTAGCTCAAGCTGAACTTTCAACACCTATTTTTCTTCCAGAATCCTCTTGATTATTGAGCAAAAGTGTTCAAGGCGTATGCAATTGGAAGCACAGAGCAATAGCACCACGCAGACCTAGTATGCAACGATACTGGGCTGAATTGTCTTAGCATTCTTTTTCTTTTCTTCTTTGAATTGTTTACTGACAGTATCTCTGGTCTTAACCATTTTATATGTGCTTCTACTAAAAAAAAGAAAGCTGGAATGTTTGCGAGAATATTCACTAAGATCAGGGTAGGTATCGTTCATACCAGAGGTGGGTTTTGCTCCTATTTTTTGGTTCAGTACAATTTTTTTCACGGAATATATCTTGAATGGTTCTATAAATCACTGGAAACTGCAAGAGTGAACACCAAAGACTGTATCTATACCAGTAAGTGAAACCAAGGCAAGGCCCACCGACCGGCTGAAGGGCAAGTGGCTTGTCGTGGCTCAGAGCCACAAAGCTGTACAGCTGTCGGCTGGGAGAGGTCATCAGCCTCCGCTGCCTCTTGAACTATGCCCAGGTCTTATCTGGAAGAACATGGACTGCCTTATTTTAATGTTTTCATATTTTACTGGGTGTAACAGGAAGTTGTCTAAATAGATGTTGGGCAACCTGAAAATGTATTCTCTGAGATCTGCAGTTTTGCTCAATGCTGAAGAGGTGCTGCTAACGCTTCGCTGGTGTGTGGTTCAGC